GTTCATTGATTTGCTCAAGCGGGCACCAGTGACATCTCCATTGTGAGACTTGTTATTACTGTGTTTGGTATATTGAATACACCATGGGTAGCTTGCCAGACTTTGCCATGCGAGCAGGATATTCTCGATAGCTTGCCAGGCTCTCCGAGAGGGATGAAGGAATCAAACCTGGGTCGGCAGCATGCAAGGCAAACACCATGCCCGCTGTGCTTTCGCTCAATGTGCATATTTCATATAAACTCCAAAATCTATTAGCACAGAATTTTTAAAGGTTTATTAATGACAGTTAAGACATGATTATTGCCATCATGAAATCCAAATATACAATAATATTTAATGCGATATATTTTAGTTTCTGGCTGGAGCGATAGCACAGCGGGTAGGGCGTTTTCCTTGCATGTGGCTGACCCAGGTTCGTGTCCAACCTGGGTTCGATTCCTCCATCCCTCTCGGAGAGACCGGCAAGCTACCGAGGGTATCCCGCCCGCACATCAGAGCCTGGCAAGCTCCCTGTGGCGTATTTGATATGCCAAAAACAGTAACAACAAGTCTCACAATGGAGTCATTACTGGTGCGTGCTTGAGCAAATCGATGAACAACGGGAGGACAGTGATACAGTGATACAGTGATTTTAGTTTCCAGAGTTGAAAACTTACTTATGTAAATGTGAACAGACATTTTATAATATTGTATTAAAAGGATTTCATTCCCTTATTTACAAAGGTGAAAAATCATAAAGCAATCAGAAATTGGCTCTCACTGATTTATTTTCTGATCATTGTATTTGCCAATTCATTTTTTTGGGGGGGTCACACTCAGCAATACTCAGAGGTTACTCCTGGCTCATACACTCAGGAGTTACTCCTGGTGGTGCTCAAGGGACCATATGGGATGCCGGGGATCAAACCCAGGTGGGCTGCGTACAGGGCAGGCGCCCTCCCCGCTGTGCTATCACTCGGCCCCCTTTTTCTTTCTCCCATTTGTCAATTGTTTAAGTTTTGTTGGCGCAAGTAATACAAAGATTTGTTATGTGACTAAGGGAAGGAGTTAGGGGTAGGAAGGAAACTGGTGACATTGGTGGAGGGAAGGTCACACTGGTGGTGTTGGAACACTAAATGCCTGAAACAATCATATTCAGAATAACTTTGTAAATCATGACTCACAAAAAATAAAAATTTAAAACCAAGGTCTAGCACTGTCCTCCCGTTGTTCATCGATTTGCTTGAGCGGACCCAGTAATGTCTCCATTTTGAGACTTGTTGTTACTATGTTTGGCATATCGAATACATCACGGGGAGCTTGCCAGGCTTTGCCGTGCGGGCAAGATACTCTCAGTAGCGTGCCGGGCTCTCCGAGAGGGGTGGAGGAATCAAACCGGAGTCGGCCCAGGTCGGCTTTGGTTTTAAAAATTTAAAACCAAGGTCAGTTTTATAAAAAAATAAAAATTGGGGAATAAAAAACATGGGATGAGACCAGGTCACAGCTGGGGACCCCCGCGACCGTTGGAGACTCAATGTGGGGTCTCAGCCCGGCCCCCGCCCTCTTGCTCCGCAGGAACTAGAATTCCAAGCAGCCTGTTCAGCTTGCCAGCTCCCTGCAAGTGATCCAGTGCCCGAGGGTTGGCACCTTGCAGGAAGGGGTGGCCGGGCAGAGCAGGGTGGTTGAGCTGCAGACGATCTGTCCGGGACAGACCCACACCCTGCAGAGGGGAGAGGTCCCTTCAGAGCACCGCATGGGAGGTCCAACCCCCAGAATAAAGTCCTCTGGACCCGGCACCTTCGAGGGGGCCCATTCCCCTCCCTGTCACACGGGCTTCTCTATAGACCCCAAGGGCAAGACAGCGAGGCGGGCTTGGAAATGGGGGGACTGGCCCCAGGTGACAGACCTGACGCAGGGACATCACGAGAATTAAGAAAAGAGACAGACATGAGCTGGGGGAGAAGGCAGTTAGGATGGAGAGGGGATCATTAAGACAATGATGGGTGGAAGGATCGCTCGGGATGGGAGATGTATGCTGAAAGTAGATAAAGGACCAAACGTGTTGGCCTCTCAGTATCTGTATTATAATGCCCAAAAGGAGAGAGAGAGTATGGGGGAGATTGTCTGCCAGGGAGGCAGGGGGAGGGGGGATGCTGGGGACATTGGTGGTGGGGAACATGCACTGGTGGAGGGATGGGTGTACCATCACTGTATGACTGAAACTCAAACATGAAAGCCTGTAACTGTATTTCATGGTGATTCAATAAAAAAAAATACAATAAAATAAACAAGAGAGAAATAAGAGAGGAAAAGCAGGGTCAGAGTGCTGTCACCTTGCGGAGGGGAGCCCCGACGGTGTCCACGCGTGCCGTTCGCTGCTGGAGCCGTGTCAGGAGATGGTGGTCTTGGCCAAGGCTCTGACTGTCTCACTCCATCCCACAAGGCTCTGTGTGTCGGGGCCAACATCGGAGTCGTGGGTCTTCTCTAGCGGGGACTCTGCTGTGAGAGGGGGCAGAGACAGAGTGCAGGGACCCCGGTGGGTAGCCCTCTGGGTTTAGAGGTACCCAAAGCTCCCCTTCCTGCCTGTCTCCTTTATCCATCTTGTCCCCAACAAGCTCTCCCTCCTAGCCCTGAGTGTCCATGTGGTCTAGAGCGGGGACACAGAGTGGCAGTGGGGGCCCCCAGGAGACAGAACAGGGGCCAGGGGTGGGGCCAAGGGGCTTAGGGGGCTGCCCAGGGCTCCATCTGGAGGCCACCACACCCCTGTTTTCTCTGCTGGGCCCATGAGGGCTGTTTCGTCCTTGAGCAGCAGGTAATGAATCCTGAAGTTTTTATTTTATTCTCTGCAGGGCTGGAGCGATAGCACTGCGGGTAGGGCGTTTGCCTTGCACGCAGCCGACCCAGGTTTGATCCCCGGGAATCCCATATAGTCCCCTGACTAATTCCTGAGTGCAGAGCCAGGAGTAACCCCTGAGCATCACCGGATGTGACCCAAAAAGCAAAAAAAAAAAAAAAGTTCTCCGGGGAAGAAAGGGCCAGGGCTGGGCGGGGCAGGGCATGGGACGGGGTGGATGTGGGGGAGCCCGGGGTGCAGGCAGCTCCACCCCATTCAGCAAGGGGTAACAGCGAGTCCCAGCGGGAGGGCCCAGCAGGTCTGCCCACTGCCCAGCGCCAGAGTCCACCTTGCTGGGGCGCCCCCTCTGGACACGGGGTGACCAGGACCTCCCTGCCCCACCCTATGGCCAACCTCCTCCACACCAGGCTCTGCCCATCCTTCCCATCCCTCTTTCTTCACTCACTTGTTCCTTGTCCTCCCCCTGGGTCCCAGGTCTAGGGGCGTCCCCTCAGCAAGGAGTCAGGGCACAAAAGCCAAAGTGGGGTGGGGTGGGGTGGGGATGGGGAGACTAAGAACCAGGGGAGTGGGTCACCATGAGGCCAGCCACCCTGGGAACAAGGTGTCTACACAGCCCCAGAGACGGTCTCCAAGCCTGGCCACTTTTAATTCTTTCTCTTACCCACTGAAACTCCCCCTCCTCCAGGAAGTCCGCCTGGACTTGGTGCTCAGACTCGGGCCTCACTTGCCTTCAGAGGCTCTTCTGGAAGAAAGCAGCCTGCAGGCCTGGACTCTCCTCAGAGGCCTGGTTCCGACTTGAGAGGGGCCTGTAGAAGGGCAGAGTTGGCAGGATATTTAATCAGATTGGCAGGGTATTTGCTGGATGGCCTTTGTTAAGGGACTTGGCCTCCTGAGCCTCAGTTTCCCCTGATAGAGGGCTGGGGTCTGCTCAAGGCCACAGTGATGAGCGACAAGCCCCGTTTCTTCCCCTACTTTCCTGCACCCTTGAGCTGGGGGCAGCAGGCTGGGGGCCTGGCAGTGGCAGGTGGGCCGGGCTCCGGGGGGGCTTCCCGGCAGCCCAGGCAGAACCTGCTTGTTGCCGGAGCCGGGCTGGGCCGCCCCCACCCGCCCCCTCCTCCCCACCATCTGCAGTGCTGGCAGCTGCAGTCAGGGCGGATGGCGAACGTTCCGGCACCATCTGAGCAGGCCAGTGTCTCGGGGAGGAGACGTGGGCAGGCCCTCAGCACCAGGTCCACAGCCCTGCACCCTGGGGTCTTTGGGATGTGCTGGTGGGGGCCCCTCCGGCTTCTGAAGGGGTCCCTGCACCTCCGTGACCCACGGGGCTGTGGTGCAGGTGACATGTCCCCTCCCACTCTCCCACCATCCCCAGCACCCAGGCAGGGCAGGGAGCACTCTGGTGCTCCTGGTCACCCTCAGTGTCAGGAGAGCTGGGTCTGTGGCTCCTGCCGGCCTGTCCTTTGCGTGTCCGTGTTCTTCTCCCCGTCCCCTCCCAGGCCCCCTCTCCCAGCTGGGGACACCAAGGCTGCGAGGCGCAGTGGCTATTCGGCCAGAGCAGAAGCAAACGAGAGACCGGGACTCCCGCTTCGTGGGTTTCCGTGGGTCCGGGGTGGCGAGGGGCAGAGTCCCAGGACCGGCCGTGCCCCACCTGACCTCCATCCCACGGGGCTCCGCAGGTGACAGGGGATGCCCGGGTCCCCAGGGCCCCCAGCCGCGCCACCCGGCTAAGGGATGAAGGCGATGCGTGGGCACCCAGGGCAGGTGGGGCCGCACCCGCGCGAGCAGGGGGAACCCCCAAGACACAGGGGTGAGGTTTGGGGCCAGCGCAAGGGCTGGCATGCAGCAGGTGCCCCCCTCAGTGTTAAAGCAATGAATGAATGAATGAATGAATGAATGAAGCGGCGGCCAGGCCCAGAGCGGCGGCTCAGCAGCCGGGGCGGCCCTCGCGCCTCCTTCCCTCATTCATTCGTTCTCCACCGGGCCCCCGCGCGCCTTCATTCATGCCCTCGGCCGTCCGCGCGCGCGCGCGTCTCATTCATCCACGCGCGCGCTCGGGGACGGGGGGCCCCCGGCCCGCCGCGCGCCCCCCGAGTGCGCCCCGCTTGGGGCGCTGCGCGGGGCGCCGCCGAGGCAGGCGCGGCTGCGCGGCCCGGGCTGGCGGGGAGCCGGGCCGGGGGCGGGGGGGCGGCGCTCCCGGCGGGAAGCGGGGCGGCCGGGGAGCCCCGGGCGCGGGGCGGCGGTGCCCAGCGGTGCCCAGCGGTGCCCGCGGCCATGTGGAGCGGCGGCCGGAGGCCGGGCCGGCTGCGCCGGGCGGTGAGTACCGCGGCCGGGGACGGCCCAGCGCGCGCGGCCCTGCGGCCACCGGGCCGGGCACGGGGACGCGGGGCCCGGGCAGGCCCGAGCGGCGCGCGCGGGGACCCGCCGCGGCCCTGCTCGGGGGCACGGGATCGGGGACGCGCGCCGACCCCGGAGCCCCCCGGGCGGTGTCCCGGCTCGCGCGGGGACTCGCCCTCGCCCGGGGGACGGGAGAGGAAACTGAGGCTCGGGAGGGCGCGGCCCAGGGCGCGGCCCCGCCGCCCCACGGGCGCTCCCCAAACGCGCGCCCGAGCCCCGCACGTTGCCTGGGAATTTCTGGCGAGCGTTTCCGCTTCCTGCCGGGCTCCGAGGCGTCTCCTCGCCCCGCCCGCGGCCGTGCCCCCCCCCCCCCCCGCCCCGCCGAGGCTCCCGCGGGGCAGGAACGGCGGGGGCGACATCCTGGAGTCTCCCGAACTGGGTGCAGAGGAGGCACCTCCGAGGAGGGGGGGGGTGGAAGGAGAAACCCCGGAAATGTGAGCTCCGGAGTAGGTCCCGGGTCCGCACCCCCAGGCAGGCAGGCAGGCAGGCAGGCAGGCCGGGGTCAGGCCCGGGCAGCGCCCCCCACGCACGGGGTCCCGGTGCCCTGACCCGGCCGCGCCCGCGTCCCTTGAGTTCCCAGGACCATGGACAAGGCCCTTCCCGGCGCCGGGCACCCGGGCTCGCCCCCTGCCCTGGCGCCCCTGCCCGCCTGGAAAGCCCCTCGGTGGCCGCTGGAGGCGGGTGCGCCTGGCATCTGTGACGCGCAGGGCGGCAGGCGGCAGCCCTGGCAGCGCCCGAAAACCCTTAATTTTCCCGACTCTCACTATAATCAGGCGGCTCGGGAAGGGACGGGCAGATGCGACTGCTCAGTGGGGACTGCGGGGACCCTGGCAGGGCCTCTGCTGCGCGTTCCTGATCCCTGCCAACCGCCTTGGAGCGGAACGCACCTGGTGGGCCGCTGGCCATACTGCGGGGGTCTCTGGGAGAGGGATCGGGGTGCAGGAGGTGGCGTCTCTGCCGCTGATGGAGCCTGAGCTCGGGGCAGGTGGTGGGACCCCCGCCTCGTGCCTGTGGGACCCTCACCCCGTTCCCCTCTGCAGGACCCCACCCACCCTGTGCCCGTAGGACCCCCACCCCGTCCACTCCAAGGGACCCCTACCCAGTGCCCACAGGACCACACCCCATGCCTCCGGGCCCCCCACCCTGTCCCCTCCGCAGAACCCCTACCCAGTGCCCACGGGACTCCCACTCTGTCCCCTCCACGGGACCCTCACCCCGACCGCTCAGGGTGGACGTGGCCTCCCCTCGGGGCCTCATAGCTGGACAGCAGCCCTCAGGGTGCCCAGGGGGACTGTTCCGCGTGGGGATGGAGAGAGTCTGCCTGGGACCCGACAGGGACCAGAGTGGTAGGGGACAGTGGCGGGGCCAAGGCAGGATGTGCTGGGGGCTGGAAAGACAGACACACGTGGTCACAGGCATGAGTGGACGGTGGGCAGGAGTGCAGGGGGTCCGCAACTGGGGAGAAGCAGAGAAACAGCTGCTGTGGTGCACATGAATGGGATGATGGGGCAGGACCCACGGATGGGGTGACGGGGGGGTGGGACACACAAATGGGGTGACCGGGCGGGACACATGGCAGGGGTGGACAGCTGTCAGCAAGGCGGAGGTAGGCGGGCAGGGACTGGGCGCGCCTGAGAAATGGACCCCCGGTGTGGCTGCTGGGGGTCCCCATCACATGGGGCTGCAGAGAGGATGGACATGAGAGGGGGGACAGAGCAAAGGGAGGCTGCACACGGGTTTGTTTGTGAAGGCTTGGGGTGGGGTAAACAGGGTGGACGCAAGTCCACGACTGGGAGATGTGTGCAGGGCCCGGGGTCCGCATACAGGACGGGAGCTGGTGGGTGGCTGGAGGTGTGGGGGGCAGGGTGAGGGTGGGCGCCGGGGATGAGGGCAGAGATGCCACAGAGATGCTTGGGGGCAGAGGGGGGCAGAGCTGGCACACACAGGGGTGGACCTCTTGGACCAACAGGCAGCTGGGCTGGCCCAGAGGCACCAGAAGGCCCCTTCGGCCACCCTGATGCCCACGGAGCAGCTGATTAGCCCCTTGTAGAATCAAGCGACCCGATGGGCAATCCCGGGTGCCAGGGGCAGGCGGGACCCACCGAGCAGAACACCAGGTCGGTGCCCTGGGGGTCACCGGAATCTTCAGGGTCACTCGGAGCTGAGACCCTCAGCCCCCCACCCCACAGTGAAGTAGTCTGGGGGCTTGGCGGGGAGGAGGTTGGCCTGGACATGCGGCCCGCACACTCCGCAGCACGGAATGCCTGTCTGCAGGGACCATCTGTCCTTCCGGTCAGCCCCGGCAGGCACGCGACCTGGGCTCTGGACAGTGCCTCTGCCTCCCCTGGCCCCTGGGCTTGTGGGGTCTGAGGCTTCCTGGCGAGGGGCAGAGGTGGGGGTGCTCTGCTGGGCGTTTTTGGTGGCTTGTGGTGACAACAGGAACTTGTCGGAGCTCAGAGAACCGGCAGGCCTGGGACCCTGGAGCAATAAGGTCCTGCTGGGTGCTAGGGGCTGCGGCCCCCAGGAGACAGTGGTCACGATGAGAGTGGCCTGGGGACAGAGCTAGGGCCTGTTTGCTTTTCTTCTTTTTTTTTTTCTTTCTGTGTCCCACCAGGCGATACTCAGGGGTTACTCCTGACTCTGCACTCAGGAATTACTCCTGGCGGTGCTCGGGGGACCCTATGGGATGCTGGTAATCGAACCTGGGTCGGCCACTTGCAAGGCAAACGCCCTCCCTGCTGCTGTCCTGAGGCCTGTTTCCTTGGCTGGGTTTGTGGCCGGTGGGAGCGAGCCCAGGCCTCCCCCTGCAGAGCGTCCCTAGGAGGTCACACCTGCGTGTCTGCACACTGGCCCGACCCAGGCAGCTGTCCCAACAGTAGGGGTCGTTAGAGAGTGTCCAGTAGATCCCAGAAAAGTTGGAGTTCCTCAATGCTCGAACGGGGGCATCCAGGCCGGGCCCGGTGGGCTTGGGCTACACAGACGGGGCAGGCCTGGAGCATGTACCAGGGCTGGGGTTGGCTCTCAGCAGTGGGCCGGCCATGGGGGTGGGGCTGTCGCCAGTGCCCCGCCTCCTCTGGGGTCCCCTCACCTACATGCCTCATCCTGTTGGTGCTCGGCACAGCATCTGGAAATACGCCTGGTCTCATACACAGGGAGGCTGCCTTTGTCTTTCTATGGAAGGTGGTGATGACCCAGGAGCACTCTCTGCTCCTCCGCCTTCGTGGGGGGCGGGGGGGGGGGGCAGGTTTGCCGCCACAGGTTTGCCTCATGGAGCAGCGTGGTTGCCACAGCTCCAGCCATTGCTTCTGTGTCTCGGATTAAGAATCAGAAGGATGGGAGTAGGAGCCAGAATAAGCCATGGCTGAACAAGCTCTCCAATCCCGTTCCCTCTCGCCACGCGCAGCAGCTTCTGTTTGTAGCTCATTAGCTGTCCCTGGCTGCAAAATCAGCCTCTGGGAAATGTGTTCTTTTCAATGGGTCTCCCGCCTTCCGGAATAGCCTGGGGAGAGAGAACATGCCACCACACCCTCCCCTTAGCCAGACAGAGGCGCCATCTGGGCCTCGGACCCGGCTGCACCTCCCCCACGCTCCTGGCTCCAGCCGGAGCAGGTCTGGACCCTCCTTCGTCCCAGATTCTTATTTGGGCCGGGGCGGGGGGCGGGGGGGAGGAGGGGGGCCTGGCCATGACCTCTGCCTGTCCAGCATGCCCCGAGCCCCGCAGCCAAGCTCCAGTTAGCGAGAATCGATCTCTGGTGCTCCAGATCAATGGGCTGCCACGCGGGCAGACACTCTGCCCTGCACAGAGAGCCCAGTCCGGGGACAAGAGAGGAGCAGGCAGGACCATGCGCTCCACAGTGGCTGACCTTGGCCAGGACCCTCCGGACCCATGCCTGAGCCGGGGCCCGCCCGGCGGGGCCAACCCCCCTGGCCTGCCTCCAGAGCCCCCACTCGCCGCCAGCCCCCTGGCCCGCCTGGGGCGCCGGCAGGAGGCCCGCCTGCCCTTCTCCCGGTTCCTGGACGAGGTCACGGCGCAGGTGCTGCACCCCGACACTCTGGAAGCCTTCAGGGGGCCTCGGGGCCGCGCCCCAGAGGCCGCCCTGAGAGAGCCAGGCCCGGGTGGGACCCACGAACCCCTTGCCGGAGCCACAGAGAAGACACCAGCCCCAAGTGCCCAGCAGCCCGAGGAAGTGGCGACCCGGGCCCCGGGCAGCAGTGGGTCAGGCCCAGTGGAGGAGGGTGGCCAGCCCGGAAGCCCAGCCGCCTCCTCCTGGAGCCCGCAGGCCTGGGTGAGTCTCTGCACGCAGACCACGGCCAGAGGGTTGCTGGCCTCAGGGCCTGCCTCCGCCGGTCCAGCGCTCTTCCTCCTCATTCCCTTTCCCTGTTGCTGCTGTGGGGGCCACAGCCGGCAGTGCTCAGGGCTCACTCCCAGCAGTGCTCGGGGGTTCCCTGTGGGGTGCCAGGAATCGAACCCGGGTCGGCCACATGCAAGGCCAGCTCCCTCTCCACTTAAGGCTTAGGCCCCTGGCCATGTCCTCACCTCCTGTCGCAGGACAGTGCCGGGTGCTCAAAGGGGTGTCAGGGAAGTTCCCGTCTGGAGCTGCCCAAGTGGACACTGGCCACGTGCGGGGCCATAGATTGGGAGTCCAGGCTGGACGCTGAGCTCTGAGGGGGCCTTTTGCCAGGGTTACTTGGGTGTCCGACCTGTGTCCCGCAGCCCTCGGGTGGACAGGCAGGCTGGGTCTGTGTGCAGGGCGCGTGTCCTGGTGGGAACCTTGTGCGCTGACCTTGGTGCTGAACTTCTGCCTCGAGCATCTGTGTCTGCAGGGGCCTGTCCCTGTGTTCGGGACGGCTGAACTGTCCCTTCCCGTCCCGAACCCCCGTCCTCTGGGAATCTGGACCAGCCCCCTGTCCACTGGGGAGCTGGACCGTCCCCCCACAGGCTGCTCTGGGGATACGGGGGGGGGACTGCCCCATCTCCCCGGAGGCCAGGCCATCTTCGTGGCCCCCAGAGGAGCAGGGTCCGCATCAGGGGTGCAGGCCCCTCCCAGGGTGGGGGGGTCTCCACGCCCCACAGTCTGTGCTGTGACCCCAGGCCCGCCCTCCCCACCCGGGGTCCCTCCACTCACAGGTCCTGCCCACAAGGAGAAGAGGGGTGACCCGACAGTCACCTCAGTCAGGGCCCGCGTCAGGCTCAGAGGGGCTGGTTTGGGCTGCCGGCCAGCAGGGACCCCGGGTTGGGGCCAGGGGTGCCACGTGCCAGCACCACATCATGGGAGACCACAGGGCTCAGGTAGGGGGCAGAGCCGTGGGTGCAGGAAGGGGGAGGCGGTGCCCGGTGCCCAGTGGGATTATTCGGGCCCTGGCACGGTGGCCGCCCTCCTGCCTGGATGTGCCTTCGTCCTCAGAGTCCAGTCCCGGCAGGGATGCTCCCTATGGACGGAGCTGGGATGGCCCCAGAGCATAGCCTGAGTCCTGCCCGGTGCCCCAGTTGATGGAGGTCGCCCTTTGGGAGCTTGGCAAGAGCCTGGGAACTCCTCAACACTGCCCGGCCCACTGCCCAGCCCACTGACTCTAGTTCTCCTGGGGTGACCAGCTGCAGTCAGTGGCCCTGAGACCTGAGGGCCAGCACTGCTCTGAGCTCAGGGTCAGGAGTTAGAGGGGGATTGGGGACCCGGTGGTGACCCACCTGGGGTGACACAGGACCCTCAGAACTCAGCCTGGGATCCCCATGGTGGCCGTGGGGTCTTGTGCTTGGGCGCCTCTGCGGGACCCCCCAGTCCCTGCCCCCTTAGGGGTCCGAGGCTGCTCTGTGGATGCAGTCCCCACCCCACCCCCAGTCCCAGCTGACGCGGTTTCAGATGTAAACTCCCGTCTCTGCGCCCGCTCTGATGTCTTCCAAAGCCCGAAACGCTTGTGAGCTGGGCCGCGTGCTGGCACCCAGATTTAGCTCAGGCCACTGTCGCAGCCGGTGGCCCGGCCATCTGCACGCGGGCACACGCGGGGGGCAGGCCAGGGCGCCTCCCCATCGAGCCGGGGACAGGGGCTCCCGCCAGCGCCCACTCCCCGCCCGGGCCGCTGAGGGCCCCTGTCCTCACTTGGGGGCCCGGAGCACCCACCCCCAGCCTCCGGGGACTCCCAGCTCAGGCCACACCACGAGGGGCAGCTTGGCCGGGACCCTGGTCTGGAGCCCCCTTGGGCGCCCCTTCCCCGTTCCCATTCACCTCTGCGTGCAAGAGAGGGCCCCCCCTCCAGCTGGCGCCCCTCCCCTCGGGATGGGCACACCCACCCCCTCTCACCCGTGCCCTGGAGGGTTTCCACCCAAACTAAGGGGTCTGAGGGGGACAGTCGGGCTCTGGGGGGCCATGGGGAGTCCAGGGGGCGGGGCTGATGTGCAGGTGTGCTGCCCCCCGCCCAGGTACCTGGGGGTGCTCAGGCAACCACCAGGGCCCACAGGAGCTCAGAGACGCGTGGGGAAGGGTCTGGGGGAGTGGGGCCCAGGCAGTGAGGTGGAGGTGGGGCTGGGGGCTGAGTTACACCCCCCCCACTTTGGGGCAGGAGAGAGGGAACGGCAGGTGGGGTTTTTGCCTTGCACGCGGCGACACGGGTTCGATCCCCGCCAGGAGTGATCCCTGAGCCAGAGCCAGGGGTGGGCCCTGAGCACTGCTAGGTGTGGCCCCCCAGCAAGGAAGCTTCAGCACTGGCCATGGCAGGGGAGCAGGCCCGGGAGGAGAGTAAGTGAAATGTGGCGATGCTGAATGCCGGGCAGGTCAGAGGCCGAGGCCCAGAGTGGGAGTCCTGGGGGGAGGGTTCTTTACGGGGGGCGGAGGGGGGACTTCCTGGCAGGAGGAGGATGTGCAAAGGCCCTGGGGCAGCAGTGAGAGGCCAGTGTGACACATGTGCCCAATCCGAAGGGGGCGGGGATGTCAGAGAACTGGGGGACAGTCAGAGTCGCCTCCCTCGGCCCCCTTGGGCTCCGGTCATACTGGGGTGGGGTGCCTCTGGGGTGCTCAGCCCCCAGGTCTGTTTGCTGCCTCTTGTCTGCTGCTGCCTGTTTCTGCCTGTCGGAGGGTCTGGGGGAGCCACTTCTGTGACTTGGGGGGCGGAGGGAGGGTGCCTGGCCCAGGTGAGCCAAAGCATTGAGCCTGCAGGGTTTAGAGGGAGAGGGGTATGCAGACACAGGAGGTCTCCAGGGGGTGGGGTTGAGGCACGGCAGGAGCGTGGGTCGGAGCAGGCATGTGCCACAGGGAGGGGCGTGGAGGGGGACCCGGGAGAGCCAGCCAGGGACAGTCCAGTGACCGGGGTCAGGAGAACAGGGGTCCCGCTGCAGACAGCCCGGGCCCTCTCCTCTTGGTCCCTCCCGCTCCCCTGCACTGAGGCCCGCAGCATCCAAGGCCCCTGGCCCCTGTCCCCCAACCACCAGCCCCTTGGTCCCCCAGCCCCCCCAGACCCTCCCCCACCATCCCTTGACTGCCCTTGATGCCACAGCACCCCCGCCAGGGCACCCCGCCCCCAGTCTGCTTGGCAGGTCTCAGAGTCAGAACCCCAACTTCCCCGCCCCCAGCACCTGCTCCCAACCTGGCACCCCACCACCCCAGCTGTGGGCTGACTCCAGGACCCCCGAGACTCCCCAGATGCACAGCGACTGAGGGGGCCTGAGCCCAACAACTCAGCGGGTCTCTGCGGAGGGCTGCCTGGAAGAAGTGACCTTTAAGCTTATGGGCAGAGGTTACCCCACAGACCCTGGCTCCAGGGGGAAGTAGAGAGGTCAGGAGGCCTGGGAATAAAGGGAGGCGCCCCTGAGATGTCTGGGGGGGCTCCTTTCCTCCTCCCCAGCCCCTGCCACCAGGCAGCTGCCCCGCCCCCCCCAGCGCTTTCTCTGGGACCCCCCCCACCAGACCTTTAAGAAGATGTGAGACCTTCACTATCAATAATTAACATTAGATTTGTGAAATTAAAGTTTAATATATTCTTACTCATTTAGACAGACCTCCCACCAGGTGAGTGGGGGAGGCCCCGCTGGAGGAGGGGTGTCCCGAGGCAGGGGTGCAGCCCAGCCAGGGAGGGCCGTGGGTCCGGGAGGGGGTGCCCACTCTCCCGCAGGGGCAGGCCCCCTCCCTGCTGTCCCTTCCCGCCTGCTGGAACTTCCCGCAGGCAGCGGCTCCTGGGGGGCTGCAGAGCTGGGACTGTGGGCCCGGACTGAACCCCTGAAAGCCAGACTCCCCCCACCCCCAAAGGGGCCCGCTGTGGTCCAGCTGCCGGACCTGCGGGGTGCCGGGTGCGGGAGTGGGGGGCTCCCCGCCGTCCTCGCCGCCTCATCTGCGTTTATTGAGCGCCTGCTGTATGCTGGGGTCTTGTGCTCTCACCTCGGCCAAAAGCAGGCAGGAGAGGTGGGCCCTGGGGGAGGCAGCGAGGGGCCAGGGGCGCGGCGGCGGGGGTCTCTGCCCGCTGCCGGGGCAGGAGCGTTCACTTGAGGGGCCCAGGCCTGCCGTCATCGCCGCGCCAACTTTTCTTGTTGGGGGCCCGCGCGTGGCTGCCCAGCGACTCGGGTGGCTCGCCCGGCGCGGCCCTCTTGTGGCCCCCCGGGCGGCAGGCGAGGAAACTGAGGCGGGGGACTTCCGGGCAGGTGCCGGGCGGGGCGCGGGTGTCGGGGCATCCCGGGGCCGGCCTGGCGCCGGGCGCGGGCCTCGGGGCTGCGCGCGGGGCGGCGCGGGAGGCGGCGCGGGGCGGGCGGCCGCGGCGGCGGCGGGGATGGGCAGTCATCTGGCGTCCCCGGTGCGCGGGGGGGCGCGGGGGGCGCGGGGGGCGCGGGGGCCCGACCCCGGGGCGCGCAGGAAGCGCGGGCGGCGGCCGGGAGCCGGGGGGCTGCGGGGCGGCGCCGGGGCGGCTCTGCGCACGCCCGGGAGGGAGCCCCGCGGGCGCGGCGGGCGCGCAGGGGTTAAGCCGTCGGCCGGGAGGGGCGGCGCAGGCCCGGGGCCCCCCGGCGCGGGCAGGGGTGCGGCGGGGTCCCGGCCGCCGGGGTGAGGTCCCGGGGCCGCCCCCGCGCGAGGCCCCCGCGGTGCCCACGTTCTCCGCTCGCGGGTTCCGCGCTCCGGGGGCGCCGCACGGGTTAACGGGCGCGGCGTGGGGGGCGGGGAGCGGGGGGCGGGGAGTGGGCCCGGCCGGCTCGGGGGTCCCCCTCCTCGGGCGCGCGGCCCGGGGGGCGTAACTGGCGGCGCCGCGGCCCGGCCGGGCTCACCTGTTACTCGGCCCCGCCGCGCGGCGGCCGCTGGCGGGCGCGGGGGGCGCGGGGGGCGCGGGGGGCCCGGCCCGAGCGCGGGGCGCGGCCGGCGCTGACCCTGCCCTCTGCTTCCCCGCAGGCCTCTGCCGCAGATATGGAGAAACTCAGGTGAGTGCCGCGCGCGCCGGGCCGGGGTCGGGGCGCGGGGGTCGGGGCGCGGGGGGGCGCGGGGCGCGCGGGGCGCGGCCCGAAACGGGGTGCCGGGCGTGGTGCGTGCGCGCGCGCGGCCACAGGACGGGGAGCCCCGCGCGGGGGTGCCCACGGCCCCGCGTGGCCCGGCCTGGGGTGGGGGGGGACGGCGGGGGTCCTGCCCGAGCGCGCCCGGCCCGGCCCCGCGCTGCGCTCCGCGTTCCGCGCGGGGATCCCCCACCCCCACCCCCGGCGCGGGGTTCGCAGCTTCCAAGTTTCCGCCTCGTGGGGGCGGGGTGCGGAATGGAGCCATTTTGGGGGATCCCGGGGCGCGCGCCCCGCGGTCCTGCGCCCGGGCCCCCCGCGGCCGCTCGCGGCTGCCGGAGTCGGAGTCGCGGCGACAGGTCCCGGGCCGCGCGCCCCCCGCGGGAACCCCCCGCGCGCCCCTCCCGAGCCCCGCGGGGCCCAGCGCGCAGCAGGCCGGGCCCAGGCTCCGTGGCCGCGCGCCGTGTCCACGCGAGGGGGCCGGCCCGGAGCTGGCCACTGCCCGGGGGCCAGCCCGACCCCCCAGCTCACCCCAGTCTTGTAGGGGCTGGGTGCAACCTCTGACCTCTGACCTCGCTCTACGCGGAGGCGAGGTGGGGACTGGCTTCTGGGGGTGCCCGAGGCGGGCCTGGGGGGGTCCTCCGCCCCCCACGCCCAGCTGTGGCCCTTGACCATGGGAGGGGGCACAGGGGGCCGTCTGGTCTGCCCACTAGAACCGGCCCAGGCTAGAGTTGCGGGGCGGGGGGCAGCGGCCAGGCCTGGGGGGCCGCTCTGCTCACCCCGCTCTGGGCCTCAGTTTCCTGCCCCACCTCTCAGGGCTGTGGGAGGGGGCCCCGGGCCAGGGGTCGCCGCCTCCCCTGGGAGTCCCCCACGTGGGGTCCTGGGGTGTCCGGGCTGCTGACCCTGCGCCCTGGCGGGTCAGGGTCCGGTCTCCACCCCAGTGCTGTCTCTGTGAAAGTCCGGCCAGGCCCGCCCCGCCCCCACAACCCCCTGCTCCTCTGCGCCCCTCCCCGCAGGGCAGCCCCACCCACCCACCCCAGCCCTCCCGAAGCTTAGCCGCCTTGGCCCCTGTGGCCCCGCTGGCCAGGATGCCCTTCCACGCTTTCCTGTCCTCTTCTGTCCCGGTGGTCACTGTTTCTTTGTGATTCTCCTGCCCCTGGCCCTCTTCCCCAGGGGATGCTTCCGCCACTGTGCATCAGCACTGACCTCCAGAGCCAGATCATAGGTAGGACCATCTAGGAGGACTTCCTGGAGGAAGGGACCCTAGAGCCCCCGCTTGAAGGATGAATAGGAGTCTGCAAGGACGGCAAAGGGGACAGGCTGTGTCCGGAGACCGTGGAGGGTGGCCTGGGGCTGGGCTCTGTCCTGCCCCTGACACAGACAGCCGCACCCCTGCTCCCTGGCCACCAACCATTGAGCCCTCCTGCCTCAGACTGCTTTGGGAGACAGCCTGGGGTGCCGGGACTCGCAGCCACACCTGTCAGCACCCCGGGTGACTCCGGCACCCACACCTCTGCGGGGTCCCCACAGCCCTGGCCCCAGAAGGTTCCGGGGAGCCCAGAACTAGTCCCCTCCCCCACTCCTGCTCCCATCCTGCAGGGGAGAGAGCTCAGGGGTCCCCTGGGGAGTCGGCGGGGAGGGGGAGGAGTGGCCCCTCAAGCAGCTTAGCCCCCACCGCCCCTCCCCTGAGCACGCCCCTTCCCCTCTGCCCGGCTTCTGACTTCTGTGATAAGCGGGACTCACCTGTCCTGGTCAGACCAGCTGGTTCCCGCGGGTGCCCTTGGGGGCCCCCTGGGGATGGCGCCCGGGCTGCTCCCCAGCCCTGCGAGGACACGATGCTGCTTCAGGGTGCTGCCTACCACACCCAGTGCCTGCCAGGGTCCTTCCCCATGACGCCAGGGGGTTCCCCATCCACTTGTCCTAGTGATGGCGGGGGTGGGGGTTGGGGGGGTCCACCCACTGCAGGACAAGCTGGTCACGTGGCAACACTTGTGCTCCAGCAGCTGCTGTGTCTCCCCTTACTCACCCTAGAGGCACCCACCAGCACCCTCCCCTGCTCCTGCCTCCGGCCCCAGGGCCTTTGCACCTACTCTCACCCCTGCTGCAGGTTCTCCTTCACCTTCCACTGCTGCCGCTCCCCCGCTGACCCTTTCTGAGGACAGGCCACTGCCTCCAGAGGTGGGGGTCACAGGAGGAATGGGGGCAGCTCCCATCCTGGGCTGAGGGGCTTCTCCACCCCCAGGCGCGGTGTGCCGGGACTCCGGGTGCTTTGGTCTCGGTGGCTGGCGGGTTCTGTAGGTGACACACATTCCTACAGGTTAGCCCCCAGTTGAGGGACCCCTGAGCTGTGGGAGTCCTCCTCAAGACCGGGGCGGGGGCACCAAGGGGGAGGCAGGGCATGAGATGGAGGGAGTGCAGAGAAGCTTCCAGATCCAGATGGAGCTTCTGATGCTCACCGGCCCCTGTGGGCTCTGATTCTGATGAGGGAAACTGAGGCTGGGAGTGGGGCTGCAGCCCCCCCCCCCGGCCATGCCCAGTCTCAGGGGTCGCCGGGGTCGCTGGGAGGAAGGCGAGTGCTCGGGAGAGCCTGGGACCAGCACCTGGTGCCCTGTGTCCTGGGAACCTATGGGCTGCCCACGGGCTGGGGGCTTTTGTGAGCCCACATTCGGGGACACGGGCTCCCAGTGCTCGCCCGAGCACTCAGGGCTGAGTGTGGGTGGGTCGCGGGGAGACAGCATGGGCTCCACCCTGTTCCCTGTCCCCCGCCCTGTTCTCGCCAGCATGGGACAGGCCGGCAACACCGGTGGGTAGCGTGGCCGCCCCTCCCCCTCCCCCACCCGACCCCCTGCCCATCCTCTCCGCCCCCCCACCCGTCCTGAGTGTTTGCACACACAGCTGCCCTGCGCGCCCTCCCTCCCCGCAGTCTCGGTGACCCCAGACCCTGGTCCTCCCCGCCCACCCACTGCCCGCTCCTGTCCTCCAATACGAGGACGCCCCCGCGGCTGGCCTGGAGGCTGACCGCTGGTCACTGCCCCAAGTGCACTGACTGCGGGCTTCTCCCTCTCCTCTCGCGGCCGCTTGGGGGTGCGGATTCCTTGTCCGGAGCAGGAAGGGCATGTTCCCCTGCACCCCATCCAGAATGCCCAGCCATCAGGCCCTCGAGGGAGGGTGCTGTAGCCTCTGAGTGTTTGCATCTGGGGCTCCACAGTGGAAGGGAAGGTGCAAAGGCCCTGGGGCAGGAGCATGTGAGGCCTAAGGGATGACGGGAAATCCACCCCCCAGTGGTGGTGGGGGAAAGGGTTGTGGCAGGCTTTGAGCAGAGGGGTGACTGTGACTTGCTTCCCAGGGGTCCCTGTGGCTGGAGTGAGACCAGCTCCAGTCCACGCTCCTGGGTTTGTGCTCCTGGGTCCGTGCTTCTGGGTCTGGACTCCCTGGGTCTATGCTCCCTAGGTCTGTGTTCCCGAGTCTGTGCTCCTAGGTCCGTGCTCCCTGGGTCTATGCTCCTGGGTCTGTGCTCCCTGGGTCTGTGCACCCAGGTCTGTGTTCCTGGGTCCGTGCTCCCTGGGTTGTGCTCCTGGGTCCGTGCTCCCTGTGACCGTGCTCCCTGGGTCTGTGCTCCTGGATCTGTGCTCCCTGGGTTCATGCTCCCAGGTCCGTGCTCCCGCATCCGTGCTCCCAGGTTCGTGCTCCCGGGCCTGTGTCCCCTGGGTCCGTGCTCCCAGGTCCGTGCTCTCTGGGTCTGTGCTCTCTGGGTCTGTGCTCCTGGGGCTGTGCTCCCAGGTTTGTGCTCCTGGGTCCGTGCTCCCTTGTTCTGTGCTCCTGGATCTGTGCTCCCTGGGTTCATGCTCCCAGGCCCGTGCTCCCGCGTCCGTGCTCCCAGGCCTGTGTCCCCTGGGTCCGTGCTCCTGGATCCGTACTCCCTGGGTCTGTGCTCCTGGATTCGTGCTCCTGGGTTTGTGCTCCCAGGTCCGTGCTCCTGGGTTCATGCTCCTGAGTCCGTGCTCCTTGGGTCCATGCTCCCTGGGTCTGTGCTTCTTGGGTCCATGTGCCCTGGGTCCATGCTCCCTGGTCCGTGCTCCCGGGTTCGTGCTCCTGGGTTCATGCTCCCTGGGTCTGTGCTTCCTGGATCTGTGCTCCCTGGGCCTTTGCTCCCTAGGTCTGTGCTCCCGGGTCTGTTCTCCTTGAGTCTGTGCTCCCTGGGTCCGTGCTCCTGGTTCCTTGCTCCCACATCTGTACTCCCGGGTCTGTGCTCCCGGGTCCGTGCTCCCTGGGTCTGTGCTCCTGGGTCCGTGCTCCCTGGGTCCGTGCTCCTGGGTCCGAGCTCCCTGGGTCTGTGCTCCTGGGTCCGTGCTCCCTGGGTCTGTGCTCCTGGGTCCGTGCTCCCTGGGTCTGTGCTCCTGGGTCCGTGCTCCCTGGGTCTGTGCTCCTGGGTCCGTGCTCCCTGGGTCTGTGCTCCTGGGTCCGTGCTCCCTGGGTCTGTGCTCCTGGATTCGTGCTCCCTGGTCTGTGCTCCCTGAGTCCGTGCTCCTGGATCCGTGCTCCCTGGATCCGTGCTCCCGGGTCTGTGCTCCCTGGATCCGTGCTCCCTGGGTCCGTGCTCCCTAGGTCCATGCTCCTTGGGTCCGTGCTTCTGGGTCTGTGCTCCCGGGTTTGTGCTCCCAGGTCCATGCTCCTGGGCCCGTGCTCCTGGGAGAGATGTTGCTTGGGGCTACCACTGGGGAGACTCGGGCCTAATGGGGAGTGTGGAGCTGGCCTGAGGCAGAAGGCCCTGAGGGAATGCGGGAGGGGTGGGGGTGGCCAGCAGGGGGTGGGTCCACCTGGGGCAGGGAGAGGGGTGGTCTGATGGGGTGAGTGAGGACAGAGGCTGGGCCAGACCCCAGGACTGCGGCATCAGGGCTTCCTACCGACTCGAAAGGGTCAGCACCTCCAGCCCGAGAGGAGGAGGCGCTGGCCAGAGTGGGCTGGGGGTGTAGGGGAGCAGCAGTGCCCCAGGGCCTTCCTGGAGGGGACAGAGACAGTGCTGCCCGGCCAGGGTCGCCGCGGGACAGGGCCCAGGCCTGGGGAGCAGGGGCGGGACAGGGGGAGCAGCAGGGGGCTGGCTGGGCAGAGGAGGAAGGAATAGCAACCCAGAAAGACTTCTTGGAGGAGGTGGCATTTGAGCTGACAAGAACGCAGCAGAAGTGGGGACTCCGGAAAGGAGGTCCCCGGGGTCAGCGCGGAGGCCTGGAGGGTGGCGTGAGCAGACAGTGACAGACCCGGGGCCCGAATCCCTATGGACCCTGCAACCCCCCACTCCAGGCCCACCCCCCCCAACTCAGAACAGAGGCACTTGGGATGGATGCACCATTGCGGGGGGCGGGGAGGCAGCACCGCCCGGACCCTCCAGCCCTCGATGCCCGGCCGCCTGCCCCTGCTACTCCCCGGGGAGGGGAGGCCCACACAGCCTCCTATCCTCAGCCTCCTGGGCCTCCCGCCAGCCTGCCCCAGCCTCAGTTTCCCTCGGGACCCACCTACTCTGAGTCCCTTTGGGGGCTGGCTGGGGATCTGCTGACCCAAGAGGACCCCACTCCCCATCCTCAGGCCTCTCTGCACCCCCACAGCTGCCCAGAGGCAGCCAGGAAGGCCGGCCCCTACGTCACCTCCTGCTGCCAAATGACCTTTTCTTTTGGGGGGCACCTTTCCACCCTTACTGAGTCCCCCCCTTTTTCTCTCATTGAAGGACTGTCCACATCCCCGAGGCCCACCTCTTCCTGCCTCCCTCTCCACAGTGCTCTGGAGCTCTCTGGTGGGAGGATCCCGTTGTGGCCACGGTGCCCTCCCTGTGGCAGGAGTGTCCCTGGAGATGGTGGGGGCTGGGCTGCCCTGCCCTAGACCTGCCAGAAGGGCGGGGCCATTCTGGGAGCACACCCTGCCCTGGACCTGCTACATCTCACTCCACCTGCCAGCAGGGCGGCGCCATTCCATTCTGGGAGGCAGGGTGCAGTTCCAGCACGGATGGGGCCAGGTTCTGGCTCTGGGCCCCCAGCTCCTGCATACCAAGCCCTGGCATCAGGGGCGCCGTCTCCCCTGGGTGCCCCCGGAAGGTGGACCTGGTGAGGGTGCCCTCAGCACCATGCAGGAGAGGGCAGCGAGGCCGGCCTGGCACTGGCAGGGACACGCTGCCCTGCACTCACCCCCCCCCCTCCTGCTGACCACCAAGTCCCCATCGGCCTCCCTGGCATGGCCCCCGGCCCCCCTGGCGTGGCCCCCAGCCCCCCGGAACGGGTTGGCAGCTCTGTCCTCTCCGCCCACAGGCTGCGCGGCCCCTGGGTGTCCTGCCTCGGGCAGCCCCGCGTCCTGCAGGGCCCGCTGGCCCACTCCACGCCCTCGCTCTGGGACAGGTAACCCAGCTGTGTCTCCCGTCTGTCCCAGACGTCCGTCCCGTGTCTGTCCCGTCCCGTCTTGCTAACAGGGCCCCCCCCACACACACCCCTCAGCCTAGCCACAAACCCCGGGCACCGAGAGGCTGGAGGGGCCCCATGGGAAGGCGGGTCCTGGCCGCAGGCTAGCATCAGCCTAGCAGTGAGTGGACGCCTCTGCCCCTTGGGGGCGGTGCCCAGGACTCCTGAGCCTGCCCTGGTCTTGTTTATTTGTTTCTCTTCTTCTTCTTCTTTTTTTTTTTTTTTTTTTGCTTTTTGGGTCACACCCAACGATGCTCAGGGGTTCCTCCTGGCTCTGCACTCAGGAATTACTCCTGGCGGTGCTCAGGGGACCATATGGGATGCTGGGAATCGAACCCGGGTCGGCCGCGTGCAAGGCAAATAAACGCCCTACCCGCTGTGCTATTGCTCAAGCCCCTGCCCTGGCCTCGTTGAGGGGCTGTTTCCAGCTGGGGGTTCCCCAGACGCCAGCACCTGGCCCATGCTCCTGGTGTCCTCACGGCGGGCATTTAGGGGGTGCTGTGGGGGTGTGCACCTCCTCTTCCAGAGGTTGGGGGGATGGGCTCAGCTCCGGGTCCCAGTCCCGCTCCCATGAGCACAGACCCCAGGGCCGCCCTGACCGGGCGGTAGAGGGGACAGTCTCAGCACTGCAGGGGCCGTGAGGGACAGGGTGGGGGCCGGGGCAGGGTGCTGCTGGCTCCCCTGAGCACTGGGTGGGGCAGAGGCGCCCCTGGTGACTAGATGGTCATCCGCTGGCCGGACAGACCCCCTCACACCTTGTCACCTCCCCTGAGCACCCGTGAGCGGGACAGTGTGCCTGGCCTGAGTCAGGGGCCATCAGGGTGGGCAGCTGAGGTGGAGAGCGAAGCTCTGAGAGACAGTGGGGTGCAGGCCCACAGGACGGATACAGCGAGCAGGGGTTTGAGAGCCAGGATGAGGGGCTCAGGGGATAAGACAGGAGCACCCCTTCTGTAGACCTGCCCCCCATCCTCTGTCCAGCGGCCTGTGTGAAGGGGCCACCAGGCATCCCCCTGTACCCGGGGAAGTTGTGTTTGGAGTGGGGCAATAAGGAGGGCTTCCTGAAGGTGGCGGCAGCTGCAGGCCTCAGTGCTCCTTCCTAGCTGGTCTCTGCATCCTGCTGAGGGCACTGGCCCTCGGAGCACCTACCCTATCTTCTGCTGAGGTTCTCAGAAGACACTTGTTTCCTTACTAACCTGCAGCAGGTCAGGGGTTCTGGAAGGCTTCCTGGAGGAGGGGGTAAGGAGCAGGCTACAGGCCATGTGCTGAGCCACAGGGTCCACACACAGCAGAGGTGGGGAACAGGCCGGGGGCCTCTCACGGCTCAGTGAGCTGGCTGCACCCGGCACCCCCATCCTGGGTCAGACCTGTCCCCCCACTTCTGCTGCCCCATACCAACCCTCAGAGGTGCTGCTGTTGGACCTGGCACCTCTCCGGAACGTTCCGCAGAGCCAGGGCTTGTTTCCACCGGGTCAGAGGGGGCCGTCCCCCCCCCACACACACACACAGGCTGAGCCTGGGCGAGAACATACTGGAGCAGCAGCCAGGCCTGTGTCTCACCCCTTGTCTGTTTTCTGAGTGTTGGGGGCTCAGCGTCTGGGGGTGGGGGGAGACCTCTCAGTCTGTGGGGGGAAACAGCCTGAAGAAATTAAAAATAAGGCTCAAGAACAGGGCCTCTGGTCAGGGGTTCTGGAAGGCTTCCCGGAGGAGGCGCAAGCTAGCGCTCTGCTGTGTACCTGACGCTTGTGTGCAGCTGGCTGGCCACTACCGGGCCCAGATGTCGCACAGCCCACCCGGAAACAGACCTGACCTGGGCAGGTGGTCACCACGGTGGCGCAAGCGGGGGGGTGTGGAATCAGCGCTGGAAGAGCTGAGCGCAGAGTCTGGGGTGTGTGACCCCCAGGACTTACGGGGGGCAGGGGCTGGAAGCGGCAGAGGGGCGGCCTGGCCGAGGCCCCGCGAGCCCTGTGCGTGGGGGGCGCGCGCGCCCCGGGGCCGAGCGCTGGGGCTTGTGCACCCGAGTGTCCCCGCGCTCAGCGCCGCGGCCCGGCCCGCCGCCGCGTGTCGTTGCAGCGCGCTGCAGGAGCAGAAGGGAGAGCTGCGCAAGCGGCTGTCCTACACCACGCACAAGCTGGAGAAGCTGGAGACCGAGTTCGACTCCACGCGCCACTACCTGGAGATCGAGCTGCGGCGCGCGCAGGAGGAGCTGGAGAAGGTGACGGAGAAACTGCGCAGGTGAGGGGGCGGGGCCGCGAGGGCGGGCGGGGCCTCGGGTGGGCGGGGCCTGGGCGGGAGGCGGGGCCTCCCCGTGTCGCCGCGCCTTCTAGTGCGGGCGGGCGGGAGGTGGGGCTTTATAGTGGGCGGGGCGGGGCCTGGGCGGGAGGCGGGGCCTCCCTGCGCGGGCGGGGCCTCCCGGTGTCGCCGGGCCTTCTAGTGCGGGCGGGCGGGAGGTGGGGCTTTATAGTGGGCGGGGCGGGGCCTGGGCGGGAGGCGGGGGCCTCCCTGCGTGGGCGGGGCTTGGGCGGGAGGCGGGGCCTCCCTGCGTGGGCGGGGCCTACCGGTGTCGCCGGGCCTTCTAGTGCGGGCGGGCGGGAGGCGGGGCCTTGTAGTGGGCGGGGCCTGGTGGTGGGCGGGGCCTCTCCTGGGCGGGACCTGGGCGGGGCTCGGCTAGAGGTTCTGGCTTGGGCCTGGCCTGGTGGGGTCCTCAGTCCGCGGTTTGCTTCCCCACCGGACCTCGCTCACCTGTGGCCGCCCTGTCGGTCCCAAGGGACCAACTCGGGTTCCCTGGCCCGGCCCTCCAGACCTCAGTCGAGGGCCTGCAACCAATGTCAGCACCTCCAGCCTGATTCCGGTGTCAGGGGCCGTGACATGTGCCCGTCTACAGCACCCCTCCTCCTGTCTCTGCCCAAACCCCGCTAAGGGCAGCTGCAGCCCTGCCCCTGCCCTTAGGCAGGCGCTCCAGAGCGAATGGCCCACACTGAGGACAGGCCCAGTGGCACAGGAATAGCCCAGTGGCCCCGAGCCTGGCCCCTCTAGAGGCATCAGGGCACGGCGGGAGGGGCCCATGGCCTGCACTGACCCTCCGGCCCCCCTGTCCTGCTCTTGCAGGATCCAGAACAACTACACAGCCCTGCAGAGGATCAACCAGGAGCTGGAGGACAAGCTGTACCGCATGGTGAGCCCCGACACCCCAGCTCCAAGCCAGGGACCCTTGATTTTTGACCCCTGACCAGGCCCCCGAGGCAGGCGGGAAGAGGGAGACTGTGCTTTGCCCCGGGAGGAGCCAAAGCAGGTGGAGACCTCTGTCTGTCTGTCTGAGGCCCCCGCCCTTGGCCATGAGGACCCAAAGCCTTCCTGCCCGGGAGGGATGGGCTCTCCTTTCTTCCCACTCTGACTGTCAGCTTGGTCCTGGGCTGGTTTTGGTTTTGGGCTACACCCAGCGGTGCTCAGGGGTTACTCCTGACTCTGGGCTCAGGATTACAGGCTTGGGGACCTAGGGCAGCCAATGCAAGGCAAACGCCCTCCCCGCCATCCTAGCTTGTGTGTGAAAGGCAGGAACAAGGAGGCAGCTCCTGGCTGCGTTGCTGGAGCCGCCCAGGCCGTGGGGACCCTGGGCTGGGGCCCTTTCCCTTCTGGCCTCAGTTGCTGCTCAAGTGAAATGGGCTGAGGGTGGCTGTCTCCCTGGGTGCTGCCCCCAGATGCTTGGGAGCCAACACGACTGTCCCCTGGTGCAGATGAGGCCACTGGGCCCGGGTCTCTGGTCCTGGGTCTCCTGTGTTGGGCCTCAGGCCTTTGGAAGCCCAAGTGACCACAGTGGAGGCCCAAGTGACGGTCATGGGGGTCCGAGTGATGCAGTGGAGGCCTGAGTGACTGTGTGGGGTCCTGAATGACCGTGTGGGGGCCCAAATGACCATGTGGGGGCTCGAGTGACTGTGTGGGGGCCCGAGTGACCATGTGGGGGCCTGAGTGACCGTGTGGGGGCCCAAGTCATCCTGTGGGGGCCTGAGTGACCATGTGGGGGCCTGTGTGACCGTGTGGGGGACTGAGTGACCATGTGGGTGCCCGAGTGACCATGTGGGAGCTCGAGTGACCGTGTGGGGGCCCGAGTGACCCTGTTAGGGCTTGAGTGACCGTGTGAGGGCCCGAGTGACACTGTGAGGGCCCGAGTGACCGTGTGGGGTGCTGGGTGACTATATGGGGGCCCAACTGACCATGAGGGGGCCCGAGTGACCACATGGGGGCCAGAGTGATGTATGGGGGCCCAATTGACTGTTGGAGTCTGAGTGATCGTGGGGGCCTGAGTGACCACGTGGGGGCCCTAGTGACCATGTGGGGGCCTGAGTTGACCGTGTGAAGGCCTGAGTTCCCGGCTGATCGCGGTGGACGCTGAGTGACCGCCTCCTCCCCTCTGCTCCTTGCCCAGGGCCAGCATTATGAGGAGGAGAAGCGCGCCCTGAGCCACGAGATTGTGGCCCTCAATAGCCACCTGCTAGAGGCCAAGGTGACCATCGACAAGCTCTCAGAGGACAATGTGAGTGGCAGCAGGTGGGGTCAGGCCAGGGCCTGGGCACTGGGTCGATCACACCTGCAGGTCCGAGGGCTCCAGGCGGGACTTCGGTCTATGGTGCTCCCTCGGCCACAGCCCCTTGGTCCGCTGCTGGGCATCCGTCCCCTCTAGACATGGGCTGAGAGCGCCCATGTCAGCCACCGTGGGAAGGGCACCCGCAGGCCCCGCGTGTCCTTCCTGGGACCCAGAGTCGCGGCGGGGCAGAGAGGGCCCTGGGGGACTAAGGGGCTGCAACGTCCACCCCCATAGGCGTCTGGGAGCCTGCGGGGCCACGGGCAGGGAGCAGAAGGCCGCGAGCCCAGGCGGACACGTGGGGCTGGTGGGCCCCACAGCGGGAACCTCAAGACCGGCCGATGTGGGCAAGAGGGCCCGAGGCTGAGCACCCCCGACCCAGGCCTGGCCACACCCTGGGCAGGCTGGCAGCAGTGACTTCGCCCTCCCAAGAGGCCTGCACGGGCCGTGAGGGGTACTGGGTCCGGGCTGCCCCCACATACAGTTTCCGTCAGGTTCCAGCCTCAGAGCAGAGGGTGGTGGGTGCCTCCAGGACGGGGGAAGCAGGTGAGGGCTGGGCCCTGGTGGGGGGTCTCCGTGCAGCCCAGGACGAGCTGCCTGAAGCCCCGGGTGCGAGAGGGAGGCAGGGCCCAAACAGGCACATGCAACAGAGATTCTGTGCGACGACAAGGCGCCCCCATCCCTACTGTTTGCATCTGTTTCCGCTCAGCCCGGCTCTCCCGGCCCTCGGCCCCTGCCCAGCCCTGCCCCGCCGCTGCCCCGTGATCCTCCGGCTGGGGCTCCCCCCATCCCCTCCTCCCTGCCGGCACCCCACCCAGACGCCAGTGAGCGGGGGCACGAGGGACAGGGGACGAGGCCCCGCAGAGCCGCAGGCCGGCGCCTTCTCTTGTCTTCCAGGAGCTCTATAGGAAGGACTGCAACCTGGCCGCCCAGCTGCTGCAGTGCAGCCAGAGCTACGGCCGGGTCCATAAGGTGTCCGAGGTAACGTGCCCGCGGCACCCACGGCCTCCTGGTCTCGCGGGATCTGGCACGGGGCTGGGCCACCCCCCCCCCCGCCCCCGACACACACACACACACATACGCCCTCCGCAGGCACAGCCCGCCCGGCCCCCGGAGGCACCAGGGCAGCTCCTTGGCCCTGCCCCCAGCACCCTTCGTAGGGCCGGGACCCTCCTTGGGCTTCGGTGAGGCCACTGGCCTGGGCACGGCGCAAGGTGCCGGCCTGAGAGATCAGGAAACAGGCCCCGAGGAGGGATGTGGCCCCCTCAGACTCAGGCCCCCCCACACCCCGCCCCTGCAAGCCCCCCACCGCCCCCTCTGTCTCCCCTCAGCCTCAGTGCCCGTCTCCAGGCCACACCTGAGACACAAATAGATCAAACAGTAGCGGGACAAGGTCCCCAACGAGGCCCTGCCCTTGAGGCTGTGGCCAGGCCCTGGGCGGACGCCTGGCCCAGGGCTCAATCTTTGTTGCATCTGTTTCTGCGTCTGTCTTGTTCCGGAGGCCCAATTCCTGGCCGGGTGGGCGGGCAGGAGGGAGGGGAGGGCTGAACGGGACCCTGGTTCCAGCCTGAGCGCTCTCTGGAGCTGGCCAGAGCAGGCGTGGGGGCCTGGAAGCTGGAGCTCCCCACTGACGGTCGTGTCCCTGACCCCCCCCCCCCCCAGCTGCCCTCCGACTTCCGGGAGCGCGTGAGCCTGCACCTGGCCGCCCAGGGCCGCAGCCTGTCCTCGTCGCTGTGCCCGCCGGCCTACGGCGACAGCGTGCCCACCTGCGTCATCGCCAAGGTTCTGGAGAAGCCTGACCCCGCCAGCCTGTCCTCCCGCCTCTCGGACACCTCCGCCCGCGACCTGGCCTTCCGCGACGGGCTGGACAAGCCGGGCCCGCGGCCCCCCTACAAGGGGGACGTGTACTGCAGCGACACGGCCCTCTACTGCCCCGACGAGCGCGGGCAGCAGCGGCGGCCCAGCGCGGACCCGCCCGTCACCGACGTGGGCTTCCTGCGCGCCCAGAACTCCACCGACAGCGGGGCCGAAGACGAGGAGGAGACCGAGGCGGCGGCCGCCTTCCCCGCCGGCTTCCGCCACGAGGCCTTCCCCGGCTATGCGGGCTCGCTGCCAACGTCCAGCTCCTATTCGAGCTTCAGCGCCACGTCGGAGGAGAAGGAGCACGCGCAGGCCAGCACGCTGACCGCCTCGCAGCGGGCCATCTACCTGAGCAGCCGCGACCAGCTCTTCGAGCACAAGCCGCCGCCCGCCGCCGCCACCGTCGCCACCTACGAGGGCAGCCCGCGCTTCGCCAAGGCCGCGTCCACCGGCACCGGCCCGCTGGAGGCCGAGGTGGCCCCGGGGTTCGCGCGGACCGTGTCCCCCTACCCGGCCGAGTCCTTCCGCTTCCCGGCCTCCCCGGGCCCCCGGCAGGCCCTGATGCCCCCTAACCTGTGGAGCCTGCGGGCCAAACCCGGGAGCGCCCGGCTGGCCAGCGAGGGGCTGCGGAGCCAGTGGCGGCCCCTGAGCGTGGAGGACGTGGGCGCCTACTCGTACCCGGCCACGCCCGCGGGCCGCGCCTCGCCCTGCAGCTTCTCGGAACGCTACTACAGCAGCGGCGGCGGGGGCAGCCCGGCCGAGAAGGCCGAGGGTCGCGCCAGCCCCCTGTACGCCAGCTACAAGGCCGACAGCTTCTCGGAGGCCGACGACCTGGCCCCGGGCCACCTGGCCGAGCCCTGCTTCCTGCGGGCGGCCAGCGAGCGGAGCCTGAGTCCCAGCCGTGCCGCCGTCGACTCCCTGCCCGGCTACGCGGCCAGCGAGGGGGGCCGCCGAGAGGCTGGGGGTGCAGCTGTGCGGCCCGGGGGGCAGCCCCGAGCCGGAGCCCAGCCTGCACAGCTCCCGGGACTCCCTGGAGCCCTGCTCCATGGAGGCCTCCCCGGAAATGCTCCCCGCGGCCCGCCGCAGCCCCCCGCAGGCCTTCCCGCGGACTGGCACCGTGGGGCTCAGCCGTAAGGACAGTCTCACTAAGGCTCAGCTCTACGGGACCTTGCTCAACTGAGCGACAGCCCCCGGACCCCCGGACCCCCGGACCCGCCCACGGGACCCCCCACCCCCATCCCTATCCCCCCCCCCCCCCCGTCTCGTGCCCCGAGCCCCGCCCCGTGGCGCTCCGGGCCTCGACCGTCTTCCCACCTGGGATCAGCGTCCGTCCCCCCTTTTATAAAGTGAAACTATTTTTTTAGTGCGAAAGGGTCTTTCTCAAGGCACCGGGCCTCGGCTCCTGGTCCGCAGCCTCGCCTCGGCGTTGTTCCCACGCAGCTCCTTTACTTCCCGCCAACACGCGTGGCCGGGCCGGGGGACGGGCGCGTGTCTCGTGCCCACCCAGCCCCTGACGGCAGGGGGAGGGGGGGGAGACGGGCCAGCCAGCTGGGGTGCAGCTCAGAGGCTGGACGCGTCGCGTGCCCCCCCACCCCAGCTCTGCCGCGGCCCGTCGTCCCGAGCGGGGCCGGTGCTCGAACCCGTGTCCTGCTCCCGGCACCGCCTGGTGCTACCTCAGCCCGGTGAGGCCCCGAGTCCGCCCGCAGCTTGAGCCCCGCCCCTGCATGCCCCGTCTCGGTGGTACTGTATTTTGCACTCAGTAATAAAGATCCGTGGAAGGTGCCCGAGTGCGCTTGTCTCTTCTCCCCATGGGGACGGGGTCCCCCTGCCCTGGGTCTCGGCCTCGGTCAGTCCGGCCCGCGCTGGACTCGGTTCCCCTGTGGCTCACTCACAGCTGCTCAGCGCCCCAGTGACTGAGGAGGCCCTGCTGAACCCATGGGGGATGGGGTGTGGCAGGCACCAAGAGCCCCCCCCCCCCCCCGGCTGCCTCCGGGTCGGGACTCACGCTGTCCCTTTGTCACTGCAGAGATGGGGCCTCGCGCGAGGTTCGCGGGGACTCTCGTGTCTGTGGATGGAGGGTTTTGTCGTTCTGGAGAATTCCCAGCTCCTCACATGGCCATGCCCTCACTCACTGGTCTGCCCTGCTGCAGAACCCGGGGGTGCCAGGCTCACCCCTCCAGCATTCCAGAACCCTCACACCCAACAGTCCCCCCCCCCCAGCCTCCCGCACCCCGTTCCTTCCCAGTAACAGGGTTGCTGGCCCAGGAGCCCACAGAATTGGCACCAGGGCTATTCCTTCCTGCACCCACCCCCCCAGCTTGGGCTCACTCCTCTGTGTCCAGCCTGCCGGACAGAGGGCTTCTCCAGCGATGGGCTCGCAGTGCTGTGGCCTTTCGTGCTTCCTGCAGTGAGGGGCCTGGGCCCTCCGGGGGGGCCGCTGCTCCAGGGGGTGCCTGTGCTTGCCGGGACCTGACCCAGTTGTCTCCCGCAGTGCCAAGGGGCTGGATCCCTGCCCCTTGGCCTGGCCCATCTGGGCTGCCCACTGCCCACAGGCAGGCGCAGATGCCCAGGAAGTGGGTGTGGCGACTGCAGGGCCCCCCCCCCCCCCCCCCGCTCCTCGAGGGCAGATGGGAGACCCTGGGGCCCACGGGGAGAATCCATGCTGGCACCCACAGCCACCCAGGCCCAGCAACACCCTGGGTGCGGGGGTAGCCCTGTCCAGGGAGAGGGGCTCTCTCTGGCCTCTGCCCCCAACCAGAGGGGCAGCCCCGGGCTCCTGCTCCTTGGGTACAGGGTCCGGACGCAGCTGGCCCCCCAGTGCCTCACATTCAGGCTTCTGGTTTCCACCGTCCCCTCTGACTGGACCACCCTGGACCCCGAGCCGGTCCCTGTGTGGAGCTATCTGGACCACAAACTCTGACAGTCCGGCTTAGGACTGGCGTGGCCGGGGCGGGAGCCAGGGTTTCTTGGGCCGCACAGGCTGGAACAGAAGGGGAGGTCGAGCTCCAGACGCTGACATTGCTGACAGGGCTCAGAACCGCCAGATTCTAGTGGGGAGGTGGGGGGGAGCATGCTTCCCCCTCAGCCCTCTGCTCTCAGTTTAGCTCTGCAGATTCTAACACTGCGAACGTGGGCCCCGTGCCGGGCAGTGGCAGGGCCAAGGCATGGGGACAGGGTGGGGGCCCAGGTCACAAGGGTCAGGGGGAGGCCAGGCCAATGGAGCCCCAGCAACCTGCCTTGTACCGTCCTGATGAGGAGAAACTGAGGCTCGCTGAGGAGAGTGAGCTGCCCCAGGCCTCAGCCACCACAGCAGAGTGGGAAGGGCATGGCTGGGAGGTGGCCAGGGAGGACGCCCCCTACTCCTTCGGCTCTTCCTGACTGTGGTCCCCACCCCTTCCCCACTCACTCCCTGGCCGGCTTTGTCCAGGGAGCCTTCCCAGATTGCAGGAATGTCTACCCGTCACCCAGGGGCTGGATCTTAGGTGACTCCTTAATTGTGAGTCGGGAGCGGTGAGTGCTCTTGGCTCCTCCCAGGCCAGGGGTCACTTCCACCGCTGCCTCTGTGGACACTCCATGAGCACTGGCCATGCTCGGCTCAGAGATCCTGCAGCTGTCCCAAGATCAGGAACCCCTGGAAGTTGCCCCTGGTGGAGGGTGAGGCGGCATGGTGGGGCTGCCGTGGGGCCCAGGCTGGACAGGCCAAGGACATCGCTCGACACCGGAGGGCACAGAAACACTTTATTGGGTCCAGCCCACTCAATGCCAACCCCTGTGGCCGCCTGGGGCAGCTGCCCCCATTTTACAGATGAGAAGACAAAGGCACAGCAGCCAGGAAGGCGCCAGTCCATGCTCGGTCACCTCCCTGCCCAGGAGGCCCCTCAGTGCCAGATCTTCACGTCGCCCTCCCAGGAGCTGGTGGCCAGGACCGAGGGCAGCGCGGGGTGGAAGGTGGTGCCCACGCAGGCCTCTGTGTGTGCGTTCAGCGTGCGTGCCCGGCTGGCCGTACGGAAGGTGTAGAGCAGAACACGGCCGTCAGCGCTGCCCGTCACCAGCAGGTCGCCGTCCGGGGAACACTCGCAGCCCACGGCGTAGCCCTCCACCTGCAGAGAGCAGCGGTCAGTGCCCGGAGCCCAGCTGCTGCCGCCTGCCCTGCCTCCCGGGCCAGGCTGAAATGGGCCTTCTCTGTTCTGCCCCCACCTCCCGTCAGCCTCCCCCTATCTATGGGAGTCGCATGGTACCAGGGACAGCGGGACCCGGGTTCAAGAGACAAAGGCTCTGGGAACAGTGCTCAGCTTCCCAGCCGGGGCTCCGGGACACGCACCTTGTGTCCCTCGTAGCGCCGCCGCCGGCTCATCCTGTAGGGCCACACTGCGGAGAAGAGGGCCAGGTAGTTGCCGTTGGTCTGGGCCAGGAACACGGGCTCCCGCGGGTGCAGCGCCAGGCTGGGGCAGGTGTACCTCTCCTGAGAAGCAGCAGGACACGTGTGTCACGCGTGAAGGGGTTCCGTGAGGGGCCCCTGATGCCCGTCCCAGTCGGACCGGCCTGAAGTCGGCTCCCTGGCCCTTTCCAGCTTCTAGAAGCTACTACGTGGCCTCTGTGGCAGCTGAAAAAAACACTGCACTCCTACCTAATCCCTGAGGCCTGCCAGCTCCAACAGGAAGAAGGACCCTCTGCAGATGCAAAGTTGGGAATTTAAGAGGGTTGGACTGCATCACTGCCCCAACTGCTTTCTCATAGAAGGAGTAGGGAGCTGACAGGAGGAGGAGGGGCCGATGGGGGGGTGGTTCAGACACGGGAGGGGGCACAGTAAGACGAGGGAGGGGCTCAGACACAGGAGTCTGGGATTCAGACACAGGAGGGGCCGCAGCTCAGACACAAAAAGGAGGTGGAATTCAGACAATGAAAAAGGGCGGAGTCAGACATGAGAGGGGCGGGGCCAAACAGGGAGGGGCGGGGCCAGACAGAAAGAGGAGGAGCCAGACAAGGAGGGGCAGGGCCAAACGGGGAGGGAGGAGCCAAACACAGGAGGGCGGGGCCAGACAGGAAGGGAGGAGCCAGACAGGAAGCGGCAGGGTCGGACAGGGAAAGGGGGCAGGCAGGGTGGACTGGAGAGAGGAGGCCCTAGGCGGGCTGGGCACCAGCAAGGGGCAGGCTCTCCCAGAGAAGCCCTGGAGAGAGGGCAGACACCTGGGGGTCAGTGCTGTAAAACTGCACGTCTGCCCCAAAGCTAAGGAGGTCTAAACTGTTGTCTTCCACCAAGTGTGATGAAACTCCAGAGCAATCCCAGCGGGGCCTCTGGGCCGTGGCTGGTGCGGTGCCCAAGCAGCAGGAGCAGGAGCCTCCAGCTGGCAGCCTGGCTCCCCTCAAGGGCTGGAGCGCTGAGCACCAGCCATGGCGAAAAGATGAAGACGGTGATGGTGGTGGTGGTGGTGATGTGGGGGTGGTGACGGGTGATGGGGACAATGGGGGCAGGGATGCATTTGTGGACTGCTCCTGGCGGTGACGTCCATGTCACACAGCAGGCGATACCGTCACCCTTGATTTTGAGAGCAGTCTGTCTACCCTGTCCCTCCCCCAGCCCCACCCCCCACCCCCTGGCCCAGACTGCAGCTGGAGCACAGCCTGCGGAGTCTCACGTGGAAGATCTGGTTGGAGATCTTGGCGGAACTCCGGAAATCCCAGGCGATGATGGTGCGGTCGGCCGAGTCCCGGCTCGAGGCGTCTGTGCTGCTCAGAAACTCAAAGCCTTCCTGCAGGAACAGGATGTCCAGGGTCTGCTGGACGGTCGCCTTGTAGCCTCTCACCACCTGCGGAGCGGGCACCTGTCAGGCGGGCGGGGCACGGGAGGACGGCTGGGCAGCCCCTCCCAGGCCGAAAGCCAGGCTGGTTTCCCCATGCGGTCCCCAACCCCCCACTGCCTGGTCTGACAGCCCCTGCCTGCCTGCAGAGAACACCCCTGCCCCCCTCACGGGCCAGGTCCGACTGGTGGCCCGGTGCCCGTCAGCATCGGCAGGGCCCGAGTTTGTGAGGTGTAAGTGGGCACTTGTGTGACACTTGCTTCCCTTCATCCACTCAGAGTACCCCCCTCCCCATCTCCACACTGATTTTCACTGTGGCCTCGGGGCTTTACTGTACTGGGGTTTCCTCCAGGGCCTGCGGCTTTGCCATGATATCAACTCAGTCAGCTCAGTTCCCCGATTCCATGCTTTCCACCCAGACGGCTGCTTCCTGGCCAGCCCCCGAAGGCCAGGCTCCCTCCACCTTCCCCAGGCCTCTCGGTGAAGCCCCCCTCTCCGGCCCCCAATGTGCTCCCTCGGACCTAACCCCAGCCTGGCTCCCTGGGGCGCACTCCTGAGATGCTCTGCTTCTTGGCCTCACTGCAGAGAGTTCTACTCCTTCTATTTTAAGTTTTTTTTTGGGGGGGGGGATTTTGGGGTCAGACCCGGCGATGCACAGGAGTTACTCCTGGCTCAAGCACTTAGGCATTACTCCTGGTGGTGCTCAGAGGACCATATAATCGAACCCAGGTTGACCGCGTGCAAGGCAAATGCCCTACCTGCTGTGCTCTCACTCTAGCCCCCCCACCTTAGGCTGGCATTCAATGCAGCCCCACCCAACTCCAGAACAGCAGGGGACGGTGACCCCAGTACCAGGATAGCACCCCTCCCCAAAAGAGCAGTAGACTTTCCCATCTCGGTGCTCACGAGTCACAGCACAACTTCCGGGCCGTGAGCATGACAGACACAGGGGGACCCACGACCATGGGCCTGGAGCAGCCACCCTGGGGTAGAGGGCTGTCAGGGCACATCAGTAGGACACGGGAGCTCCCGGGGGGGCTGCTGAGTTTGGGAGGCTGGCGGGGCTATGTGGTATCAGGGTGAAGATGGGGTATGACCATTGGCAGCCCCTCTTGGCGCTGGCCGTTCGGGTCCGAGTCTGCCTCCTGGAGCACAGCGTGGGTTCCCACCCACGGGGCTCACTCTGTGGGAGAGCCCCTGCCTCGTGTGTGAGGCCCCGGGTTTGATCCCCGGCACCACAAGAACCTTTTAAGAAACCAACCAAATGAAACAGCCGTGTAAGTCTAGGGAAGTCAGAGTCCACGGGAAGGAAAGAAATGGCAGGGGCGGGCGGGTGGGCACGGCCAAGGCCAAGGCCTCTGCCTGCGCCGCCCCAGCACCACCCGGTGGCCAGAGCCTGCATCTCTTCTCCTGCGACTGCCGTGGCACTTGCAGGCAGAGGCCTGGGAATTCAAACTTCCCCCCATTAATGGTACCAGTGTTTCCAGGTTCACGGGACCGGACGATAGCACAGCACACTTGTCCTGCACGTGGATGACCTGGGTTCAACCCTGGCATCCTGTATGGTTCCCTGAGCCCCCCAGGAGCAATCAGACCCTGAGAGTCAAGCCAGGAGTAAGCCCTGGGCACCACCGGTGTGGCCCCAAACCAACAAATAAACAAAACAGTGTTTCGAGGTTCAAAAAGCAAGCTACTAAATCATATCAAATAGGAATAACGTCCTTTTAGGTACTAAGGGAAATTTGTATATAGAATTGAAATAATATATCAGATAAAATATCAGGACTTAATCAAATGCTATTTAATCTTATTAAAAATTTATTTTTACAAAATATGTATTTTTTTTTTTTTGCTTTTGGGTCACACCTGGCGATGCACAGGGGTTACTCCTGGCTCTGCACTCAGGAATTACTCCTGGCGGTGCTCAGGGGACCATATGGGATGCTGGGAATCAAACCCGGGTCGGCCGCGTGCAAGGCAAATGCCCTACCCACTGTGCTATCTCTCCAGCCCCCCAAAAGTGTATTTTAAATACAAAGACACAGGCTAAAAGTTCAAAGATAGGAAAAGATCAAGGAATAGTAATAAAAAATGGGAATGTCCATGTTAATAACAAGACAAAGTGTATTTTGGAGTAAATACCAACGCGGAGGGTAAGAGAGAGAGTGGGACAGGTGGAGTGCTCTGCCTATATGCAGTCAACTCAGGCTCCGGCCCTGGTACCCTATAATGGCCCCCTGAGCACTGTCAGTTGAGATTTCTGAGCACAAATCCAGGAGTAAGCCCTGTGCAGAGTCAGGACAAACAAAGATGTTAGATAAGGAGGAACTTTTCACAGTGATGAACGCGCCCGTCAGCTAGGAGAGCATCAGAATCCTAAATGCTCACGAGCCTCTTGGCAGAGGCGCGAACAAAACCTCCTACTGCTTAAAAAGGAAATAAAGTAGGGCCGTTCTTATAGTCCCACATTTCAAGCAGCTACTCTTAATTCAGAGAACACAGATTTGATCTCAGGGAAGACAGAAGATGCGCAGAGAGCTTCGGCCAGCTGGAGCTCGCGAACATTTCTAGAACAATCCACCCAAGAGAAGCAGATTTTGCTGCTTTTCAAGTATGCACCAAGATAGACCTCAAGTCTCAGTCAACTGCACAGGATTGAACAGACTCGGGCTGTTCCATGTCCAGATGGGGTTAAATTAAGAAAGCAGCTAAAAATACCTGGGAAATTCCCAAGTGCTCGGGACCTACACAGCACACACTTTAAAACAAAACAAACACACACACACACACAAAAAACCAGTACTTCAGGCACCGTGATTAATATTGGTAACAGGAAGGTGTCAGGCGTGGGTGTTGCTACCCCACACCCCCTGCCAGGTGTCACGCCCCTCCGCCACTATCTCTAGGTCCCCTCTCACCCTCAACCCCCACTTAGCTGTGTGGGCTGGCTCCTGGGTGAGTGTTTACACCTTTCTGTATTTCTTTATACGACCTGCGCTTCGCTTTGGGCTCCCTATGATGACCCCTTAGCTCCACCCCAAGGCAGGGGACTCAAGGCATTCTCCTTCCTGGTTGCTGGACTGCAGTCCACTGTACTTAGCCTGCCCAGGGGTGAACCAGGAGCCAAGAAGAAATAAAGAGATCATGACGAAGAACTGCTGATAAAGATGGAACAACAATCTCTCAGCAGTTGTGAAATGCAGCTACAAATACAGAGAGCAAGTAACAGGCACTGGGAAACTGGAACAGAACCAAGGGCTCAGAACAGAAACCCTGACTTCACCTTAAGAAACGGGAAAAGGGGCTGGAGCGATAGCACAGCGGGGAGGGCATTTGTCTTGCACGTGGCTGACCCGGGTTCAGTTCCCAGCATCGCATATGGTTTCCCAAGCACCGCCAGGAGAAATTCCTGAGTGTAGAGCCAGGCGTAACCCCTGGGCATCGCTGGGTGTTACCCGAAAAGCAAAAAAAGAAAAAAAAAGAAAGAGAAATGGGAAAGGCCGGGCGAGAGCAGAGGGGCTAAGGCACTTGCCTGGCATGTGGTCGATCCCAGTGCAATCCCTGGCACCAGTGGTCACTCAGAGCACTGAGCCAGGAACAGCCCCTGAGCATGGTTGGGTGTAGCCCATGAAACAGAAAGAAGAAGGAGGAAAAGATACGTGGAGGAGGAGAAAGTGAAGGAAGAAGAGGAGAAGGAGAAGGAGGAGAAGGAAGAGGAGGAGGAGGAGGAGGGAGAAGAAGAGGAAGAAGAAGAAGAGGAGGAAGAAAAGGAGGAGGAGGAAGAAGAGGAGGAGGAAGAAGGAAGAGGAAGAGGAAGAAGAAGAGGAGGAGGAGGAGGAAGAAGAGGAGGAGGAAGAGGAAGAGGAAGAAGAAGAAGAAGAAGAAGAAGAAGAAGAAGAAGAAGAAGAAGAAGAAGAAGAAGAAGAGGAGGAGGAGGAGGAGGAGGAAGAGGAGGAGGAGGAGGAAGAAGAAAAGGAAGAGAGGAGGAAGAGAAAAATAAGGGCTAAGGAAGGGAGGGTGGGAGGGAAGAGCATCCACACTGCCCGGGAATATAAGTCCCTTCACTCACTGTGGCACCATCCACTTTGCAGAAAATCCAACTGAATCCACAAAGAAGCAACTCGAGCTCGTTGAGCACAGTTGCAGAATTCACAGTGACGACCCAGATGTCTGCGGGATTTCTATAGTCTGACAGTGCATGACCAGAAACCGCAATTCAAAACTCTGACAGCAGCATAAAATGCACATAACTACATACCTACAGGTATATGTAGCAAACAAAGAAAACTACAAAAGAGATTCAAGAAAGTAGAAAAAAATGGGCCAGTGCTCGTGGGTTAGCTCAAGACTGTTAAGAATTCTATTCTTCCCCAAATGGATCTAATGAGCAAAGGCAGTAATATTTAAAGTTCCAGAAGGTTTTCCCTCAGAGTGGGGCAAGGTTGAGTCTCCCTCCCCGCCCTAAGCAGACTCCCGGCAGCCGAAAACCTTCAGAACCCAGCCACAGCCATGCTCAAGGCCACTTTCCACACACTCGGATGAGTCTCACCTATGAAGGAACTGGCAGAAGAACCCTGGTATGCAGGACCCGGGGCCGAGATCTCCAAGCCTGCTCAGATTGGGACTGGGCCTCCTCCACCCAGACCTCCAGTTTTCCAGTAGCTTGGCAGTCACACCCAAAACTGCCCCTGGCGTTATAATCTCATCACCGTCCAGGATCAACGGCCAGACTATGAAACAAAGCTCCCGGAATAGAGCGACGCATTTTTTCCCTCTTGGAGTGCCCGGCAAGCTACCGAGGGTATCCCGCCCACTTGGCAGAGCCTGGCAAGCTACCCGTGGCATATTCGATACGCCAAAAACAGTAACTATAACAGGTCTCATTCCCCTAATCCTGAAAGAACCTCCAATATGGCAGCGTTGGGAAGGATGAGTAAGGAGAGGCTGCTAAAATCTCAGGGCTGGGACGAACAGAAATGTTACTGGCACCCGCTCGAGTAAATCGATGA